CGAATAAAAGTGAAAGAAATATTATTTTCCATTAATTTTCTATTGGCTTCAAAAATAATTAACACATAACTTGTTTTTGTAGCAGGGTCTCCCCCCAGCCTAGCCCAATCATTCATTCCTCATCTCATCACAGCGTCGCGGGGGGCGAGATGACTTCATTCCCACGGCGATTGCCAACTCCTACACCGGCCCCATCGCCTCCACAACGATCTCCAACTCCTACACCGGCCCCACCGCCTCCACAACAATCTCCAACGCCTCCACGCCGCTCTCCACCAACACCGGCCTCATCGCCTCCACGCCGGTCTCCAACACCGCCCCCACCCCCTCCACAGTGACGCACTACAAAGACGTCTAAGGTCCCGGCGGCAAAGAAGACCCCAAGAAAAAGAGTTATTTCTCAAGAAATACTTCCTGAAAAGACTGATGAGCAAATAGCAGCTGAAGAAGATAAAAAAGTGAAAGATTTTTTTATGGATATCAAAAACAAGAGTCAAGCGAAGCTTAAGGAGAAGCCATACTTTTACATACCACGAGATGTGCTGAGGCAGAAGGTCGATGCTCACAAGAAAAAGATGATTGAACTTCATAAGTCTTCGCAACTATCAGACTATGACCGCTCCCTCGTGAAGTCACATGATGCAGATAAGAAAAGGAAAAGAGTATCAGGGAAGGATGTCCCACAGCTCGAACAACAGAAGCAACCAATGCAAAATCTTGTTGTTGCTAATGAATATGGTTCCAATATAGAAGTCTATCGACCAGACAACTCTGGAGAAGTGTCGATTCAAGCCCTTAATGCTTTTTTTTAAGATACTGGTTTAACCTTGGATCAATTGACGGGCAAAGCTCCAATCCAGAACCTGGAAGTTGATACCTGGAAGACTTATAAATATGGCAAAAGTTTGTACAACCCTGCGGCTCTGAATGAATTGGGTACGCAAATGTACTTGCTCAACAAGTGGTACATGTAGGCGTGTGGCAGGGGTGAGCAGTGGATCTTTGTCAGATTTAGATACCATCATTACTTCCGTGGCGATGACATCTTACATATTAGTTTTGAAGAATTGCATCAACTATACCACATGGACGCTCTGGACAAATCAATCATTAGCTCCTTTTGTTTGTAAGTGATTCTTACTTTTATTTAATAAACTCACTTCCATGCGTACGTGTATATAATTATCCTCACATGTAACTTATATTTATATACAGATTCCAGATGTCAGAGCTCCAAAGAATACAAGACACCAGTGTTGGCTTCATTGATCCTTATATCGTATTCAAAATTGGTATTATTGTCAAGGAGCGGTGGGTATCTGAAGCACAGGAGAATATCATGGTGTTCTTCGTAAAGCAGCACGACAAGACAATAATATTTTTCCCGTACAACTTTGAGTAGATGTTAATAATAATGTAGTCTACACATTTTATGTAATATCAATACAACTTATATGTATGTACGTGTGTGTATAAACCAATGCAGGTTTCACTGGATACTCATTGTCATTGAGTTAAACTCAAGTCGGTTAGTAATCTTTGACTCATTGAGAAAAGAGCGGGCACTATACCAAGATATAATAGACATTATCCAGGGGTAATTTCGATCTCTCGCGCACAACTATTATTGAATAGACTTTGCCATAATTTATTAACGATCGTACATTATTGGCCGCACAGGGTTTGGAAAGAGTTTATTCGGCAACATCGCAAGGATTGCAAGGCACCACTTAATGTAGTTGAAATACCAGTAAGTTGTACTATATACACTTCCCCACGTGTTTAATTACTATATCGTACTTCAATTTACGTGTGAGATGATGAAAATAATCTTCTTCTCGTACAATGGTGTTTGCGGCAGCAACCAGGTAATAACTTGTGTGGATACTATGTTTGTGAATTTATCACTGCGCACATAAGAAGAACTCCTAAAGATGTCCTCAGAGTACGTATATATCAATTTTTTATTTATTTTTAAATGAATATATATATATATATATATATTAATACTTTTCCTTTTATTTCAAATGCAAGACTGAACGGTTGAAACGAAGGGTCATACAAAAAGACCATCTGAAAGCAGTTCAAGAGTCAATAGCAGGATTTCTTCTAGAAAAAGTGCTAAATCCCAACGGCGAGTTCTACTTTGATTCTAAGGAATAAATGATGTAAATTAAATGTTTATTGATATCGTTATTTTCGAGAACAAGATTATGAAAGTGTTGTATATATACATATATATATCTATAATATATATATGTTCATACTTTATTCGAATATAATAATGCTCGATATGATAATTAGATGTAATTATATACGTGCGTGTATTTATATTAGCAGCGTAGAATACGTACATAAAAACATATTATATATTAAACAAATACGTGTAACTGAACTGAAAACAAATTAAACAAAAAAAAGAAAAAGAAAAGGAACCTTTAGTCCCGGTTGGGGTTACCAACCGGGACTAAAGGGTGCGGCCACGTTTGCTCGGCTGGAGGGCCTTTAGTCCCGGCTCGATGACCCGGGACTAAAGGTGCACCTTTAGTCCCGGGATCGTTGTCCCGGCGCGGTAACCGAGACTAAAGGCCATTACCGTCCGGGACAACAAGTCCATTCTGTAGTAGTGTATTGATACATTAAAATAACAACTAATAACCAATTCCGGATACAAATATTATGTTTTTGTCCATAATCTAAAAAAATAATTATATTCGAGGATATTCAGATCTATATTTATATTCATTTTAAAATATCGATATAAATATTGAAAGTGTGCTATTTGATTCGACAACTGGGACGGTGACAAGGATGAAAAATACACTTGGGTAATTCTAAGATAAAATCAAGCCCCAATTTTTTAGAACTAAAATAGCTATTTTAAAGAAATCAAGGACGAAAACATGTACTCGTCTTTTACAACAGCTGGTAGGTATATGTGCCATGCTAATATAACAGCCTAGTAACTTTGTTTAGGTTACCACTTACCAGGAACTGTCAGACGCCGAGAAAGGCATGCCAAACTGACGATGACGAGCCATCTAAGGGTTATCCATCGCCAAGACTAAAGTTACAATTAAGCTAAGTTGTTTTATTTTAAAATACTTTGTTGTATTTTGTTGTAATAACTAATGGGATGAAGCTCGAGACTTCTTTCCAATTTTTTTGCAAGGAATTCTTTCCATTATTTAAAAAAAACCGTAGCTGTAGAGCGGTAGAATTGGAGATAGTAAGTGGCAGGAATTGAAGATAGAAACCGAATATGAATGCTTAGAAAGTAGGATGTTGGTCATACAAGTCTGCTCTCTTTCCCTTGCTTTTCTCACACACACGGCGGCAAAGCGCCAAGACACAGCAGCTCACAGAGCCGGAACACACACGCCTTCTACTTGGGCTTCATCCATTCTTTGCCTGTTACGCGGACGTTGGGCCGGGTCACAAGTCCACTCCTATGAGGCCCCATGTCTGCTTTACTTGTTAGTTGTGATGCTTGGTGTTTTTTCTCTCTCTCTTTGAATTCTTGTGATGCTTGGTGTTGCCGATGCTGACGCCCCCAGTTTAGTGGGAGCACGCAGCTCGTTAAGGAATTTTCGTCCCAGTCCCAGGTTTAAATCCTATTGGCACGCGCTGTACTAAGTTGGGCTATAAGATGTTTTTTTTAGCTTTTTCAGTGCTTTTATTCAACCAGTTTTTATTTTTGTTTACTATATCCACTATTTAAGAGTAAGTATTAGTAAATATTTATAAGTTGTTTCTGCTGAAAACTAATTTATGTTCCTTAGCTTCGCTGCCTCTGCTATTGTTGCTTGACCCTTTGGGGTTATTTTTGTTCTGTTATACGTACTGCTTAAACTAGGCTTGATTTTAGTGTAATCGGCAGCTCCCACGCGAGTCGTTTGAAATTTAATAACAATAATTAAGAAGGCAATGCCTATTTTTTAGGGTCTGTTTTGAAGCATGGATTTTTTTTTCTTTTATTGTGAAATTGCACTGATTCGTATGAAATTCCTATGTAAATCGTGTGAAATTCTTTTTTTTTTTTCCAAACATGCCCGTCAAGAAATGAGCTAGTACGTCATCTATCTATATGTATAGGGCAAAATGACGCAAAATCAATGGAGGCCAACTAAAGTTAATTGGTATACTCGACTTCTGGCGAACGCTAATTACTTGGACGACTCATCAATCACCACTCCGGTGAAATGGAATCGAACGCACCCCGCACTTCTTTTGACTAGTGCATCTGCATCGTCGATCGTCCGCTCTCCACATTCCTTCCAGCAAAATTAGGTCCAACCACAAATAATGAGTTAATGACTATATCCATACAAAAGCATTAACGTGAAATCAAGAATTCATGTCTCTGTCCTTCACCAAATCCTGTAACATGTATGAAAAAACACTTGTTGTGTGTCCATGACAAGTTTACAGCTTAATGGAGCAATGTGGTGAAGCAAAGCACTGGTGAATATGTCGATACGGGCGTCTCTTGCCGTCCACCTGATGAAGAATGATTCTCTTTTTAGTAGCATATCACCAGGAACAGGAAGAATCTGTGAGTGTGTTCGGATGTGGTTATTTGAGTTTTTTTTTTTTTTTGAGAAACTTTTTCCTAGCTCCTCCCTGATGAGAAATTAAAAATCTTTGATTGTCTGCATCAATTTTCCTTGCTGGCAGTGATATGATAAATCTAAGATACACGACAAAACAAGACACCTGAAGTTGACCCGTATTTCTGTTCTGCAGCTTTTGATCTTTTCCATGCAAGCCAGCACTAGCTTGCCTGTGCATCTTTCCCCTGGAGTGGAGTCCAAACCAGCCTGCTGCATGCTGTGCCTCCCTAACATGTCCTTAAATTCTAATAACAATAACAATGGCAATGCTATCACTAACAACGCAAGTGAAGGGACCGACACCATGATCTATTTAAGCCACTGCAAACGAACACGATCGAACACCAAGCGACCAGGGACGCCGGCGTACGAGCCAAGTTTTATGCCATGGGCACCTTCCTAGGCCACTTCCTCCCCGGCCTGACCTTCGCCATCCTCGGCGTGTGGCACACGCTGAACACCGTCAAGGGCTACAAGCTCAAGGGTGCCTCCGGCTTCCGCACCGCTACCTGGTTCCCGTTCCCGTCGCCGCTGCTGCCCGGCCTGAGGCACCTGGAGCTCTACCTCCTGCTCTCCTTCTCCGTGCTCGCCATCGCCGACCAGCTCGTGGACCTCCCCATCCTCGCGCTCTCCCTCCAGCCGGACAGCCTCGAGCACGCCACCATGTACCTCCACCTCGCCGTGTACGCATCGGTAGCGCTCGCCGCCGACGTCGTCTCCTCCCGGCGCCGTGACGCCGCCGCCACGGCCACGCCCGGCGGGGTCGTTGGGGACGTGGTGACCGCGCTCGCCGCGTCGGTGTTCGGGCAGGAGCTGTTCCTGCTCCGGTTCCACTCCGCGGACCACGCCGGCCTTGAGGGCCACTACCACTGGCTGCTGCAGCTGGTGGTGGCGGCATCCCTCGTCACCACCGCCGTCAGCGCCGTCCTGCCGAGGAGCTTCGCCGTGGCGGTGGTGCGGTCGTCATCGGTGCTGCTCCAGGGCATGTGGTTCATGGTCATGGGCTTCGCGCTGTGGGTGCCGGCGCTCGTGCCGGTCGGGTGCCGCGGCGGCGTGGAGGGAAGTGGCGCGGCAATGCGGAGCGTGGTGGCGTGTGCGACGGAGGAGGCGGCACGGAGGGCCGTGGTGATGGCCAACCTGCAGTTCAGCTGGGCGCTCGCCGCCGTGTGGGTCGTCACAGCGTACCTGTGCCTCAGGGTGGACTACTGCCGGTGCTTGGATTACATGCAGCTTCAAACGCCGCCCAGCGGCGTTGTCGCCGGCGACGGGGATGCGCCGCCGCCGCAGAAGCATGTCTTTCCTGTCGAAGAGCGCGTGTAGAAAAAAGTTGCTCAGTGCTCACTGATCACTTGTTCGCCTGTCTGGGATAATGTCGTTGCACGTCTAGGGTCGTGTACTCGTGCCACTTTTGTAAAGTGTGTGCGTGCAACAGCTTCACATTGGATTGCCCATGAGATTGTCCCACCAAGCGAGGGCCGAGGCCCGAGGGAACCGCTACATATTCTAGCACAAGAAAAAAAAAATGTTCCACGAAGAAGTAAAATTAGTGTACAAGTAAAAATGTTGGAGTTGGTGCGACATAATGCATTCTATTCTATCGCATATGCGACATATACTATGCAACATGAAGTAAAATTAGTGTATTTCGTCGTACTAGCAACATGGAGAAAGAGGGAACGTATATTTTTACTAGCAACAAGAAGTAAAAATGTTGTTTTATGTTATAAGATTTTGAGATTATAAATAGTTTCAAATAAAAAACATATTAACTATAAAGTTGTAGGTCACGTCAATGGCTATAATTTGATATAAGGTTCGCCTTCATCTAAATTAATATAAAAAACTTAAGATTATTTTTAGATGTAACTATTTCTAGAGAGGGCCATTATCGGTACTAAAATATCAGTTTTAAATCCACTTCTCATTATCGGTTCTAAACTACCAATTTTAAATTGATTTTACACTACCATAAAAATTGATTTTAGTACGCAATCTCTTTAATGAACAGAGATGGTCATAATTAGTAACCGCCTCTAGTTAGGCGGTCTCCAAGCAAATGGCTGCCTCTGAAAATCATTTAAGATGTCTGTCTCTGTTAATCATCAATCTACATATACCTGTCTCTAAAGTTCGCTATTAACAGAGGCGACCATTCTAAGTGACTTTCTCTAAAATCAATTTTGTGGTAGTGTAAATGTCATTTTCCTTACACTATTATCATTGCCTCTTGTTCACTGCTGATTTTAAAACTGATAGTTTAGAACCGATAATGAGAAGCGGATTTATAGTAGTGTTCTATAGTAGTACAAGCGCTTGGTCGTAAAGGATCGTAAATATCCAGCCGGAACAGTATTTTTCTCTCACACCAAACCAATCAGCCGTACTTCTTCACGAATCAGCAACGAGCCAGCCCAGCCAACCAAACAGGCCGTAGACCACCGGACACCAAATTTGAACTTTGAAAGAGCTTTTTCTTGCGAAAGCAACCGATGGTAGGGTACGAAATAAAAGTCATGATGAGCGAAGCCATGGTCTCTCGTTTGGGAAGCACACAGGAATCTTATACCAAGTGACTTTTTTATTAAAAAAATTAAAGCCTTTGTAAAAAAGTGATTAATCTAATTATACATACTTGTTTAGTAAGTGCGGGCATCCTCATCTTTTCCACAGGGCCTCTCTAGACGTTTAATCGAAGAAGTCAATATTTCTTATTTTACGAATCACACCCCTAAACACTCACCCTATCTTTAAAAGATTGAGTCGACATATCTCAAAACTACAAGGATACCCCGCACGTTGCTGCTGAAAATCACAGATAAACTCGTACTACTTATATTTACTTATATGGATGAATAAATATCATAATGCATGTTAGTGAATGATGTAGCACTCTAATGTAGACAACTAAATATATGTTAGTGAATGATGTGGTTTGTTGATGTAAATAGCTTGAATGAAGATATACTTGCATGTGCTAGTGAATGCTGATGTGAATATCTTGCATGATGAGATAGAATAGTGGGGATTAAAAATATAAGAGATATGATTAACAAAGTCACCATATAAGCCTGGATGTCAACGGACATATCGTCTGCCACTAAAAAAATAAGGCTATTAAATCTGACACTTGCATTAAGTCAAAAACTTAAATTTGGATAGATAAATTATGTCATAAGAAACAAAACCAGCTGAGGTACACGCTAATTTCAGAAGTCAATTATTTGGCCATGTTTCCTCTGACTTTCTGATATAGATATATGTTAATTCTGGGAAGCTGGCATCCGTCCGTCTGGACGATCCGTTGCTAGGCTGCGACGTCAGCCCAATGCCAGCCTCTTATCTGATCGTCCGCTCGCCCCGCAACCGTTATATAAAAAAACTCACCTCACCGTAGCGCTGCGACAGCGCTTCACGACGGTGCTCCGCCATGCCGCCTCGACGACCATGCTCTCCATCGTGCCTCCCTCTCTATCACGCCTCCGCTCCACCGACCGACATCTCCACCGCGCCCAAGCACGACAGACGGTCTTCTCTCCTCCCCACTGCGCCTCCTGCCCACAGCGGCCTTTTCCACCAGACCTGCCATGACCTTCTCCACCGGAGCGCCGAGCACCGTGCCACCGGTGAACTCCACGCGCCGATGAGCCTCCATTCACAAGCAGCAAGGAGATGTTGCGCTGAAAGAGCATGTTGCAAGCCTATGTTTCAAGTGTTTGAGATGTTTCATAAGTACGTTGCAGGTGTTTCATATGGATATGACAAAAGTAGATCGGGATGTTGCATTGTTGAAATGATTGTACACGTATGTTGTAACCTTCTGTTCCTAATGTTTTATCTGTTTTTCATACGTACCTTGCAAGTGTATTTATTTGGATGTTGCATATGTTTCACACATATGTTGCAAGTGTTTTATCTGGATGTTACGTATATTATACAATGGTTTCAAGTGTTTTTCTTCAGGTGTTTTTGCAAGTGTTTCATCTGTCTTCAGACGTATGTTGCAAGTGTTGCATATGGATGTTTCAAAAGTAGATCGGGTGTTGCATATTCCTCTTCGCATTTTGTTGTCTCGCCTCGGTGTCTCCTCTCCTCCTCCTCCTAGCGTCGGCCGGGACATTTGAATCAGAGGCACAGCGGGCACTGCACACTCCCCCTCTTCTCGTTGCTAGTGACATTCGGGGTGGTGCCCCCATGTGAGGCGCGCGAAACGAAGTGCAGGCGCCGGTGTCCGGACGCGAACGTCCGTCCAAGTGGTAGCACTGCCGACAGATATAGTCTACTTGATTTGACCCAATGCTAATCTCTATTCGTGTGTGTGTGTAATTCTATGGGCGCTGCCTCTATCTACGTGGAATTTAATCTGACTTTGCTATACTAGCTAACATGACTCCAGCGAGCCATTCGGTTCGTCCGAAAGTTCTATTTGTCAAGTCAGATGAACGTGGGAGAGAGAGAGAGTTGCATTTGACTTTCCGTACGTAGGAAAAACAACAGGAGGTTTGAGCTTATACATATTCACACTCATCTTTATAAACATCTCCGATAAATTGAGCTGAAAATCTTAAGATTTTAACAAACATATTAAGGGGCCGTTTCGATCCTTTTATTTGAAGAAATTAAAATCTACTTAATAAATTAAACTATTTGGCTTGGAATTTGATATTCCACCGCTTTTCAAAGTTCACATATAATCCTATCTCAAATTCATACGGTGGGAGACGATGGAAATTGATTCTATAGATTATCATCTTATGTTTCTACTTTGCAACTTCTAACGTGCTCTTCAACTCACTCCCCTACAATAGAAATGTAACACATAAATATCTCTCTCATATAGCCGACAATAATATACAAATATAATCCATATACAACCATATTAGCTTAATTAATATGTGTCTAGATTATTATTATTAAAATAAATTCAATTCCAAGGATCAAACAGGACCTAAAGGTTATATTACTTATCCACCGGCACTTAACTAGCTGAAATGCGTGAGCACCTATACTGAGTTGCTAAATAAGTTCTATCATCTAGATATGTTGATTGCTTGAGATCTTCGCTTTAGTCTAGCTCAAGTTCATCTTTATATCCTATGGGGTAATGTACCTTATATACTAGCACACGTTGTTAGTCCAAATTATTATTGTTGATAATTAACTATCAAAATCACTAACCCTTGCCTGGGTTCATATTCCTTACAACTAGAAAAAATGGCGCGGCGTTGCCGCGCCCATGCTTCTGGAGCGCAGTGTTTGATTTGTGTCTAATTTTTGGCCCAGCCCTATAGCTTCTTCTTTATTTCCAAGTGCTGAGAATGCATAACAATATACCTGCTTTTATTGTAGTCGTTTATTGCAGATTATTCTTGTAATATCTAACGGTTCAGATTCTTTTTTTAGTGGAACGGTTCAGATTTAATAGGCATTATATACACCAAAAGATACTTATATATAGGAGTTAAGATCGGAAGGTGGTATGTAGCTTATACATTGATCACAGGGTTTATACATGCAGCAAAAGTTCTGGCTTGTTTATGTTGATGAGCTCAGATTGAAATGCGAACATAGCTGCTACATGTAAGACAGGGAGTATGTATAGAAAAAAAGGTTCATCTTAATAATCTTAGCAAGCTTGTATGGTGAATTTTTCTCGGTTCAACAAGTACATCATTTAAAGAGTCACATAAGAGGGAAACTTTAGGACATACCAGTGCGCAGTTAAATAATACTAGTGATTAGGCACGCCCCTACACGCGGGTTGGCACCACATATGTTCTTTTGTAACAAGACAGTTAATTATGGATAATGACGTACGAAAGAGAAGAACACACCAATAACATAATCCTAAGATAACTGACATAGAGGATTAAAGATACAAACATAACATATGTCCTAAGATAGCAAACATAAAGGTCGATCAAGTTTTGAGCTCCGGTTGGATAGTTCAGCGCTGCCAGACTGACAGCTCCAGGTTGGTGAAGAGGCTGCTTAATCACAACAAGACATGTTATTTTTTAATATATTACACACGCTGATACAAAGGCAATCCGATTGGTAGGTGTAAAGCAGCATCAGTCAGACTGATGATGAAGCTTTGGCTAAATATTTGCTTTTTTACATTTTTTTTAAAAAATGGTGTATTTGCAGTCCCAAAACATACTATAGCTTCGTTTCATCGAATCCATGCTTAGAAAACTACAGCTGTTTCTGTCTTTGTGTGCTTACCTTTCATTGATCACAACCACAAATGGTGAGCTACAGAAATGCTCCAACTCTGCTACAAAGCAATTTTTTTTTTTTCTTGTGGATGGAGCCTCACC